TTTATTAGAATAGGTTAGGTTAGGTTAGAACGTGCGTCTCCACTGTTTCCTTTTCTTTTTGCGGAATCAGAGATGAGCCGCCATGAGTCTACGTATATTGACGTTAACCCGCGTGTCGGTTTTCCCCGTTTATCGCGGCGCAGCAGCCGCCGCCGTTCGCTCGCGTCGTCACGTGACACGTCGTTTCCAAAGCGGTCTGGTTTCGAGGCTAAAACAGGAAGAGCCGCCATGACAGTCTCCGATCCTGGACATTAACCCAAAATTTAAAAGATTTCAGACTGAAGCGAAGTTCTTCCTTTCAATTTTGATTTGTTTATACGAAAGGGAATAACGAAATATATTTCATCGGGTCACTGCGATAAGAAGAAGTTACTTTTAAGTAATTTGCATAATGGTCGCACTCCTTAATTGTTTGTATACGATAAAATATTTAGATTTATACAGGAAAATTTTGCTTTATTTCTCTCACATTATTTTTTTATTCATTAATCATATAGTAATATCCATGTTTTCAGCTTATTCTGTAAAAGAGTATTTTGCATAAACGAAGGCTTATTGTTAAAAATGCTTAATTTTTCACCTTAAATTTATTGACAGGCGTTGAATTTTATGAAAAAGTTTCGAGAAAATGAAATCGGATTTAGTTGTGGAGGATTTTTTATTCTTTACACAAAATTTCCAATTCAGGTATTTGTATAAGATTAAAATAATGAAATATGTGAAATTTTTATAAGTTTTAGAAATGATTAATGAAGTAATACTTAAAATTCATACGTAATAAAGTATTTTTGTGTTGTATAGATGTACCAATCGCTGTATAGCATATTCGATATATTACTTCAGATACGAGATATTTTTGAAGGAATCGACAAATCGTATAAACCAATAACAAAACCATTATTTAATGCCACTAAAAATCCCGACGTGTAGTTGAATATTTTATAGTATAGAAGAATTTACACGAATAGCACTATTGTCTTATACGAATTGTATAGATTTGATGTATATTCTAATAATAGATTAGTAAACTGATTCAGTAACGTGTCCTTTGCACAAGAAGCACGTTAATCAGTTATCATGTCAAAGTCTGTCGTATCAGCATAGAATAGCACTCAGATCGCCACATCAATCGTAATAAGTAGTTGATAAATTTTGAATTGTGGACTTATTTTTCTTTTTATTTTTTGTAAGCCACCAATTATCATTATTCAGTGCACAAATTGTTCGGTAAAATGGCAGGTAATTGGGTTTATTGCATGTTATGTCCCATATTAAATATCTTTGCACTTTTCGGCAACATATTTTATGCACGGTGCGAACACCAACATCTTAGCGAGAAACACAAGTAATTGCTGAC